GCACCAGGAATAATATTAGTTATTTTAATGAACCTTAAAGAAACTATCCTAAAATTTGATTTTCCACCTAGCCAAATTTTTTACTAAGAAGGAGAATAAAAGATCGAAGGAATGTTACAGCATTCCTCATTTTCGCTAGGAGTACTATAAAAATTAGTTGCAGTTGCTGATAGATTACAAAACAACCTGAGGTGCTAAGGGTTAATTAAAATTCTTTGAAGAAATACACCCTTCTGATATTGATAAGAAATTATAAATAATTCAGTTGAATGCTTTGGTAGTTCCAATTTTAACCCTTTGAACTCTGTAGGCTCCAATATTGCACCAGTTATAATATTAAATATTTTAATGAATCTTAAAGAAACTACCCTAAAATTATTAGATTTTCCACACATCCAAATTTTTTACTAACAAGGAAAATAAAAGAGCATTCCTCATTTTCGCTAGGAGTACTATAAAAATTAGTTGCAGTTGCTGATGGACTACAAAAGAACCTGGAGTGCTAAGGGTTAAAAGCGGCGCATAGACGTAGAGAACCGTTGCAGCGACGTATCCTTTGAAACGTGAAACAAATTTGTTTCGTTTCCCTGGAGGACTGTTCGTTCCCGATGCGAACCGCGGATTTTCATAAAATGTCCCGGAAGAAAGAGTATCAATTACGGGCTGGTTTCGAAACTTTTTCCCCGTGAGCCGGCCTCGGTTTCGTTGCGAGGGAAACTTCGGCCAAGTATCGACGCTGAAAAACGTGAAGCCTCGCGGCGTGCAACGTGCATAGTCTACGTGAAATATTATTGAAAGTTGTTACTGTTTATCAAGGCCGGCTATTCCGTCGGGATAAGATTGAAATTTATGAATACTCCTACTAGTAATTATTCATCTTTGTTACATACTGCCGACTGTGCTAACATTTGTTTGCAGCATTCGTTCCTTTTAGATGTTATTTACCACTGTTTTTACTGGTAATAGTAATAGTCATTTGGTTTTATTGTTTTTATATTTATCTGTTGCCTACTTACGACTATTGTTTTTTTAGTCTGTACTTTAGTGGTAATAATAGTTATTCGTTTTATTGCATAAATCCGAGGATACTTATCTTCACTGGAATCGTCAGTTTTATTAGATATCTATTATATGTTTATATAATATTTTTTATTTATCTGTTATGTATTATCTGTTATATACTATTTTCTATCTACTCTATCTACTCTATCTACTCTATCTACTCTATCTACTCTATCTACCCTATCTACTCTATCTACCCATCTACTCCATCTATTCTATCTATCCTATCGATTCTATCTATTCTACCTATTCTATATTTATATTACTCTTATATATCTATTGTATATACCATTTTCCTTGCTATACATTTGTCCCACAGAACACTAGATCCTCTCCCACGCTTATTCTCACATCACCCACGTCTTTTAACTTTCCTCCTGCTCCTCCTCCTTCCGTCCTTTCTGACTTGCCCACTCTATTACCTTCCTGTTATCTATTCTCTCTACTTCCATCTCTTACAGCTATAGAGAATGTTTCCAATATCGCAGTACAAAAGGAGCAAGGTTAAAACAGCGACTCTGCAATTTATCCGGCTCCTCCACCCTAAGCAGCAATTTCGCTCTATCTACCGGAGGGGTAGAGGCTAACAAACCGTGTTCCTCTCCACTTTGCTATATTCTTAAATCACTCTAACCTTGAGACGATAGCCGGTGACCACGTTACGCGATCCAGCAACCACTCCTCGCGGAGACGTTTATTCGACAAAGGCTAGTCAAAGCCAGAAATGGCCAGCACTCGTTGCGCAACGTCCGGCGCTGCCTTAAAACTGAGAGTACCATTGTTCCTGGAGGGTAACCTTTGCCAGAAGTGCCGCGTCTGGCCGCGCAGCTATTATCCCAGAATCTTTCAGCAGACCGCGGTCCGCTTACGGAACTCAACCGCCCTGAAATGTGTCAGAGACATTTTTCCGAAAATCGAGGCCGCGCGTTTCCGTTAGTTTCGTGGCTCGTAGATCAAAGCTTCGACTTAACCTCTTACACTTGCAAAGTGACTCAATCGCCACTAGATTCGATATTGAGAAATCATAAAATCTCGTATGCAACATTAACCCTTTGCACTCGAGAGGTGACTCTCAGTCACCACTTGATTCGATAGAATAAAACTATCAAGTGGAATATTTAATATTTCAAATGGAACTTTGCATTTAAGCAGATTGAATCGCAAACGAATGATTGAATTACTCAAACAAGAGGCCAGCGCGAAGTTTCTTTTCTATTGATTATGCAATTCGTAGATAATTAGTGAAATATTGAAATAAAACTCCTTCGTTGCTTAATTTATCTATGAATTATCGTTACATTAGTTTCAAACTATCGCCTGTATCTCGTCAGAAAATGTTGAATATTTCCATTGGAAAACTTTCGAGTGCAAAGGGTTAAACTTTGTATATCGCATCGATACGTGAAACATTTGTAAGATAATCTCAGCGAACGGAAAGTCTACCCCCATGTGGTAAATTAATTTTTTACGCTGAACTATATAGTGACTCGTCACATTGATCATGCAACTAAAGTTACGGCTAACATGTTTCTACACGCACAAAATTCGTATAAATCCTATTGTCCAATAATTCATTGTTACAATTTTTATAGCGATTACATATCAATCGTTTTGTTTTCGGCTTCTTCAAACATTCATTACAGTATTCAAGAGCTGTTTATTTTCAAGATCATTTCAGATATTCAATGCTTTTGAGATACCAATAACAGCTAAACAGAAAAATCAGTCATTTTGACTGGTACGGTAGTTCTAGTGTTAAAATCACATCGAGAAACCAACGCAGAGACAACCGAAGACCCGAACGCAATTGATATTTATTATCATTCGGTCGTCTGTTAGTTATCCCAGCGTTTCCCCATCCGCGCAAATTAATCTACGGTCTGCCAGAAATTCGATCGAGATCAAAACCCGCCGTTTATTTTCCTTCGAACGTAACGATGCGTTTCCGGGCAAGGTCGCCCTGTCCGCGTAAACACCGACGCGTCAGCGCCGATCTCGCCTCCGGGGAACGTCGGGCCGACGGGACGGGCGCGCGGGGGGAAACAATTTCCCCGGGGCGTACGTCCGGCGAAAGTTTAAGGAAATCCATAAATGGGGCGGCTTATCGGTGGCAATCATCGCGGGCCGCTTCCTCCTTCGGCCGGCGAAACGTGATTTATCGAGCGGCTTCCGGCCGGAGATACATATCGACACCGATGTCACCTTAAGCCCGCCTTTAACGTCCGATCGATCCAATATTATTATATCTGCCTCGATCCTTGGGCGACGCTCTTTGAATAAAATAGAAGCCGCCCGGATCGCGGGAAATATCTCGCCGCTTCCAGATTTCGTTCAAGGCTTTCCACTCGAGTTTGTGTC